CTCCCAAACACCGAGACCCCCACCCTCCCGGCTCCCAAACACCGTAAACGGCACCCTCCCGGCTCCCAAACCCCGTAACCTGCACCCTCCCGGCTCCCAAACACCGAGACCCGCAACCTCCTGGCTCCCAAACACGGTAACCCGCACTCTCCCGGCTCCCAAACACCGAGACCCCCACCCTCCCGGCTCCCAAACACTGTAACCCACACACCCCGGGCTCCCAAACACCGAGACCCGCACCCTCCCACCACTAAACTCCCAACCCACACCCTTCTGCCTCCCAAACCCCAGACTATACCCTCCCAGCAACCAAACCCACACCCCCCATCTCCCAAACCCCAGAACACACACATTCCCAGCTCCCAAACCCACACCCCCTATCTCCCAAACCCCAGAACACACACACTCCCCTCACCCAAATCCCGAAACCCTCACCCTTTCACCTCTCAAGCATGAAATCCACACCATCCTAGCTCCTAAACCCGTGAAACAGCATCCTCTTGGCTCACAACCATATATCTTCCCAATTTCCAAATATCCAATCCTACATCTTCCTGGTTTCTCAGATCCCCAAACTCACACACTACTGGTGACCAGAGCCCCCAAACTGCATCTCTTATCCAGCGGAACCCCAAACCCCATCCTGCCTCCCAAACCCCCAAATGTACAGTCTCACCACTCCAAAATCATACCTTCTGGGCTCCTAAACACTCTCAACCCTCCTAGCTACCAAACCCCAACCTACACTTTTGCTACTCGAAATCCACATCTTTCTGGCTCCCAAATGTGCAAATCTGCAAACTCCTATCTCCTAAACCCCCAAACCTGAACCTCCTGGCTCCATTAACTCACACTGCCAGTTGTCAAATCCACACACTTCTGTCTCCTAAATAACGTTATCCACATTCTCCGTGCTCCCAACCCCCCAGAACTGCACCTTCCCAGCCACCAGATCCCAAACCCTGCATTCCTGCCTCCCAAAACTTGCTGCACTCCAGCTCTCAAAACCCCAAATCCCAAACATGCATACGCTTGGCTTTCTGCAGGAGCACAGTGGCTCAGTGGTTAGCACTGCTGCCTCACAGTGCCAGGAACCCAGGTTCAATTCCAGCCTTGAGCATCTGTTGTGTGAAGTTTATATGTTCTCCCTGTGTCTGCGTGGGTTACCTCCAGGTGCTCTGGTTTCTTCCCACAGTCCAAAGATGTGAAGGTTAGGTGAATTGGCCATGCTAAATTATGCAGACTAGGTGGATTAGCCATGGAAAATACAGGGCTAGAATAGAGGTGTGTGTCTGCATGGGATGCTCATCAGAGGGTCAATGTGGATTTGATGGACCAAATGGCCTGCTTCCAAACTGTAGGGATTTTATAATTCTGTGAAACACACGCAGCTGCACTTTCTGGCTTGAAGGTCCCCAAGTCTACAGCCTCCTTGGCTACCAAACTCCAAACCTGCGTCATGCCGGCTTACAAAAGCCAAAATGTGCATCTTCATAGCTCCCAAACCCTCAAACTGCCAAAGCCATACCCTTTCGGCTCTCATATCCTAAAGCTCCAACTTGACATTCTTGGCTCTTAAACTTACAAACACATATCCTGCAAGCTTTCAAATTTACACCCTCCTAGGTCCCAGTCACCAGACAAGATAGTACCGGCTCCCAAAGCCCCAAATTTTCACTTGCCCAACTCCCAAGGCCTAAATCCAGCCACACCCAATTTCTAAGACCCATAACCCCCAATTCCCAAGCATTCAAACCTCCTGGCTGCCAGTCTATTGATTATACCTCCAACTCCTCTGGTTCTAAAACCTGCACTTCCTTGGTTCCCAGGTTCCCAGGCCTGCATACACCCCACTCAAACTCTCAGACCCAAAAAATCTCTCCCCCTGTTCTAGACCCACCACATTCATAACACCCAGAATGCCAGTGCTACAATCTCCCTGATCCAAAACTGCTCACTTATAGTCCCTAAACCCATACATTTCTGGTACTCAAACCCTCACACTACTTTTCTGCTAGCTCCAGGCACAGATTATTGTGGTCTCCTGGCCTAAGATGCATATTCCAATGTGCCGACCTTACTCACCTCATCAGTGACTGTCTTCTCTTTGCCACCATGAGAGCTGAACCAGCACTGTTAGTTTCTGTTTTAGGCACCTGGAAAGTGAGGAATGTGGAGAGTGGCTAGCAGGACTAATATGTACAAGTTTTTGAGTGAATTTTGGATAGTCCAATAGAGAGATGCTAGGACATTTCAGTGCTGTGGAATGTGTCTATTGTTGCCTGTGCAGGAAGCATTATCAACTGGTGCAACTTGAGATTCATGTTTTAGAGTTTTAGCAGCAGTTGGCGTCACTACAATGCATCTGCAAGGCCAAGAATTGTGAGAATAACAAGTTTCTGGAGGTGGTCAGCCCACAGTTTGACAGCATGAGGCCGAGGGGGAATGGGTTTCTGTCAAGCCATTGAAGATAGCATGGCAGGTAATGCAAGAGTTACCTGAGTGTATCTCACTCTCCATCCTGTATTTAATAGTGCAACTAGAGCCTAGTCCATGTTAGTGTGCTGGCTTAGCTGTAAAGGCAGCAGAGAAGACTGCAAAAGCAATAATGATAGGGTTTCACTTGCATTTCTAAGGCTGCAGACATAACTCCAGTATGGTATGTTGCCAGTGTCAAGGTCACTGAGCGGCTGTAGAGACTCTGAGGATGGAAAGTGAGCAAGCAATGATCATGGTCCATTCAGTCTCAATAACATAATTAAAAAGAGGTTTGAGATCCTGCTGACAAATTTTCGGGACTTAGGAATGAAACTTGCAAGCAGTTCCTCAGAAGTAGTAAATTCCAGATTATATCCACTCCTATATGCTAGTGATTATAGAAATGGAAGGATAAAGCCAATGAATGCATGGCTAGGGGATGGTGGAGGAGGGATGATTACTGGAACATTAGGACCATTTCAGGGGGAGATGGGGCTTATACATACCACCCAAGTTACCCCTGAACAAGGCTAGGACCAACATCTTCATAGAGTAATTACGTGGTGCAGAGGGGTGAAATGAACTTGGAAGGGAGATGAGAACCAGCAGGTAACATTTTGAAAGGAAAACAAGGTGCATAAAGAATTAAGAGAGGCTGTTAAGAAATATTAGGGTATTAAGTGAGATGTAAGAAATGAAAAGGTATTAAGTGGGGTGAGGATAAGAGACAATACATTGTATTTATTGTATTTAATTTAGAAGTCTAAATTGTATTTATAGTGTTTGTATATAAATGCACAAAAATGATAAATAAGGTTGGTGAGCTGCATTTGCAAATAGTCACATGAGAATACGATATTATACTGCTAACAGAGAGCTGGATCAAAAAGGGCAGGAATGGGTCTTGAATATTCCTGGAAACAAGGTCTTCAGTAAAAATATAGAAGGAAAGAAAGGAGGGGCTTGGCAATGTTGATTAAGGAGAATATTAGAGTTAGGCAGAATGTCCAGGGTGGCGGGGATGTAGTGGGGAGGGGGGAGTCAATAACAGGGTCTATTTGGTTTGAATAGGTGACAATTGAGTATATTCTGTAGGCCAACAATTAGTGGGATAGATACAGGAGCAGATTTGGTGAGAAAGTACAGAGAAGTGCAACAGATATAGCTATAATGTAGGATTTTAATTACCTAAATATAGACTGAAATAGTAACAGTGTAAAGGGCAGAGAAGGGGGAATAATTTCTACTATCTGTGTTCAGGAAAATTTTCTTGATCCATACGTCTCTTACCCAAAGAGAAATACTGGATAAAACATCAGTCAGAGAAAATTGAGGAACAGAGATCATTGTATCATGATGTCTAGATTAGCTACAGAAAAGGACAACAAACAATCCAGAGTAAATACAATGAATTTGGGGATAACCAATTTCAAAGGGGTAGAAATGGATGGATCTGTTATGAATAAATTGTTTTCAAAGACTGCTAAACAAAATTATAATGAAACAACAGGCTCTGTTTAAAAAGGAGATAATTTGGGTACGTTAAGGTACATTCCCTTGCAAGGCACCCAAAGTGTGATCTTTCCAGAAGGGAAGAAAATAAGATGAAGCAGAAACAGAAGTGATTATGACAGAAAATACAACTAAAAATCCAGCTGAATGTAGTAAGATAAAAAAAAGGAAGTGGTAAAGGGGAAATGAGAGACAAAGAAAGATTATGAGAAAGAACTAGCAGATAACATAAAAAGAACTCCAAATGTATCCTATAGGGGTTGGTATTAGGATCAGGACAAGGCTGTTTTTTTCATGATAGATCTTGTTGATTTCTGGATTTTGTTGATGAGCATCAGTGATTGCTGAATATAGCCTTTCAGTGGTAATGATCACTGAATGTAATCTCTCAGTGTAAGGGATCCCTGAATTTGGTCTTAGATAATGAGTTCACTTTCCCATCTTAGTACACTCGCTTACCAGCTGTTCATCTTTCTTTCAGCTCTTTTCTTTCTTTCAACCTTCCTACTTTGCTCCTTTACAAGGGCAGAGCAGGATTTCCGTCCCTTGAACCTTTCTCAATTTCATTTTCCAGTCCAACTTGTTTAGCAGCAGAACAAGGCTTTGGGCCAAAGAGAGTGATGGTATTTCAGGCCACAAGGTAAGGTGGAGCACTCTATTCATGGGTGAAGGTTTCTGCAGCAATCAGGAACTTTACTCATCAACCAGTCAGTCTATAAGGGAGGTGGCTGGCAGATCAATTGTTTAACA